TCTACAGAAAAAAATCCTGAAATTTTTTGAGAACTGAATATTTATCTTAGCACAAAAGTTCCAAATATGAAATTTCATCAAAAGTAAGTGAATCCAATGCATATATTTAAAAGTAATATAGTACAAAAAGGAAGCAAGGAGGTATTTTGTATTGAAAACCCATATTGACCTGTGAAGAATAAATAATAAAGTCATTTGTTTTCTTCTTGCTTTAAAAATTTTGAAGATACATATTTGGGAGGGAAAAACCCATAAATAACCCTTAAAAAGTTCCAGCACTAAAAAAAAAAAAGTTCCAGCACTGAGTAAATTTCTACTTCTACATAAATACTTCTTTATCAATAGTACTAGATGTTCATGGTTCCAAGAATTATGTTACTATAGTTTCATGATGTGCAAAATAGTGATGTTTCAATCAGTGTATCTTCAGACAGTATGCTGCTTTACTAAGAATCTTGTTTTTCAAAAATCTTTAGTATCATTTCAAGCAAATGTTTTTAAGTATGATAAAAACACCTCTGGACACAGAGTTTATTTATTGACCCATAAAAGGCATATTCACATTAAAAATAAATAATTTCTTAACCTTCAGTTTTACCATCTTTGTTACCAAATAGAGGTAATATCTCCTGCACAGGACTGTTGGAATGATTGAGCACATACATGTAATATTTACTCCTTATTGTGCCTGATACTAATTAACTGTCAAAATAAGTGTCTTTTCTAATTCAGGTGAAACTTACTTTGTCTCTAGTTGTACATGAAATATTTTTGTTCTCTGTAAAAGAAATTGCAAACAGATGGAGATATTTCAGGGGTTTAGGACATTACAATAAATAATTTTGTTCAGATGATTCCCCTCCCCCAACCAGGAGTAAGTGGTAGGATCTATTCTAGGAGTTGCTCAGGAATTACTGGGAGTGAGGCAACATATTTCCTTTGAGACCAACTTTTTCAGTACCTTGGAACATTTTTCTCTTTGTATTGAAGATGTTCTCTTCCTCCGTTTTTCTGTGTTTCGGGCTAAATTCCTATAGTTGATAGAATCACTAAGACTCGGGATTGCAATGAACCTTCAAGTCATCACTTCTGCATCTTCTCAAATGAGGCCCTGAGAGTACATGTGCTGGACACAAACAGAAGCAGACTGCACTGGCATATCAAAGCAAAGTAATTCTCCAATAATACACTTGGGGACTTATGTCCTTGTCTCTATCAGTGAACTATAAATGGATTTCAGGTCATCCTTGGCTATAATCAATTGTGCACAAAAACAATAACTTCTACTCTTAATGATCTCATTTGAATTTGGCAATGAATTTTGAAAGTTAACTGCCATTCTTATAAAGTTAAATATACTATCATCTTGAACAAATTTTCCCACACTTGAGGATTCATGACAGCTTTATTCATAAAAGTCCAAAGTAGAAGCAACTCAAATGTCCATCTGCTGATGAATGGATAAATACACTGTGATATATGCATGCAAAATAATTCTACTAAGCAATAAAAAAGAATGAACAACTGATACTCAGCAATATGAATAAATCTCAAAAGCATTATGCTAAGTAAAAGAAGTCAGACACAAAAGGCTACCCACTGTACATTATATTTTATAAAGTTCTAGAAAAGGCCAATCTGTATAGACATAAAATAGAGCTATATTTGCCATGGGCCAGGATAGGGGGAAGGGATTCACCATAAAAATCATAAAAGGAAAGTTTTGGAGATGATTTTGTTGATGGTTCTATGACTGCACACAGATGTTACAGCTCATTGAAATGTATACTTTTAAAAATTTGGTTTATTGTGAATAAATTGTACTTCAATAAAACTAATTTTAAAGAAAAAGTAACTGCTAAGATTTTTTTTAATTCTTAGTCTTACAACCAGTTTATTTACATGAATGAACTCAGCAACTGAAAGATCACCAATATGGGAACTCAAGTTTGTAAGATGAAATGCATTTGAAGTGTTCAGATCCTGGGCAAACTTATCCTTCCTTTTTGAATATTTTACTAGTGTGTGTTTTTAATACATAATAATTATGTACATTTCCATCCCTTTACTCTCCTCTAATCTCCTACCTCCCATTGATCCCCTTCATCCTTTTTCTGTGACCACTACTATATTGTTATATTACTAGAATACCTAATAAAGTAAAATTGAAAGATCAAGTAATTACTTTGTCTTTTCTTGATTTTTAACTAATTACAGAAGGTTATTCCCATGACTGGATCGATAACTATCCATTCTAATTTATGAAATCTTTATTTTACTGACAAATCACTGCAAAAATCTCCAGAGCCACCAAATTGAGCTGAAATTTCATCTCCCTTGCTCTACTCCCACTTGAAGCTCTCTTATCATTTAATTATTTACTAATTAATTCATTATTCTTTGCCCACTTCCAAAGAATCCCAAGCAAATTCATAAGTAAATTTGGGAAGAAAAATAATGAGGTAAAAATAAAACACAAATAATTGCAGGATGAAGAGTTGAAATAACTACCAGAAGTGGCTGCAAAATTTTCTCTAGGTTTGTAAGTGATCCATAAAAGAGGAAAAAACATGTATTGTTGTAATATTGAAGATGCCTATAAAAAATAGGAAAACCTGAGTATTAAGGAAACACAACATTGTTTTTGATTCCAAAATGAGTGGGAAAATTTTCCCATGAATGCTCCATAAGAGGAAACTGCACAGGGGCAGGGGATTTAGCTCAGTGGTTTTGCCACTTGCTGCGCAAGTGCAGGGACCTGGGTTCGATCCCCGGTACCAAAATAAAAAAAAAAAGGAAACTGCTTACCACAGTATATGTCTTCAGTAGCACTTTGGGGAAGCCATAGTACTGAGTTCTTTGTGGCGTCCTTAAAGCCACAGAAAAAGCTAAGAAAATGCCACACTAGGGAGGTGAATATGGTGGCTAGAGGACAAAAATGGTCTTGGGCAGGAGGGGGGATTACTTTTCACTGTAACTGTTACTTTTCACAAATTACTTTTTGCAGCTACACATACTGCCAAACAGTGGTTAAGTGTACCAATTGCTGAGGCAGTTTGGGTGGTTCAAATTCCTGCTCTAAAATTACTAGCTGCAGAACATTGGGCAGGCTCTGTGCCTACCTCTAAAGTAGGGATTAGAGAATAACCACCTCATTAGGTTTGGGGAAGGTTAAATGAGTTAGTGTGTGTGTGAGAAGCTTGACAGTAGATAATAGCTATTACTAATGATGTCAAAGTGCAGTATTGTAAAAGTTTTCTTGGGATGGGCCATAACAATGTTGCTTCAGGTATAAAGCTCAATAATAGATTTTAGTCCAGAGCATACATTTGAATATCTTACACATCTGAAAATTAATTATCATGCCCGTGGGGTTTATGCCACTAACAGACCCAATTTGGGTTTTGGTGTGTGTTTTAAAGGACAATGTACTACAAAGTATTGTTGAAAGAAATTAAAGAATACCTCAGTAAATGATACATGTTGATTAACAAGGGTTCCCAACTTGATCTAAAACCTCAACACAATCTCTACCAGAATCTCAGATTGTTTTATTGCAGAAATGAAGGAATTTATCATAAAATTCATAAGAAAATGAAAGAATTCAGAATAGCTAAGCCAAAAAAAAATCTTGAAAAAAGAACGTGGGAAGACTCAGGCTTCTCAATTTCAAACTCACTAGCAAATTCTGAACTCTGAAATTCTCCCAACTCTGAGACTTTCACGACACCACAGGTGGAGGATTCCACACTTGACTCCATGTGGAAACTACAACCCAAAACGCAGGTGCACAACACAATTTATTCAGCACCTCCAAAGGCAAAAAGACTCACCCAAACCCCTTCAGCTGCCATAGGATTTTTTGTGCACACCCACATCCCAACACGAAAACACTCCCACGAAGGGTAATAAAATGGCATGTGCACAAGCCAGATACACCAATGGCAGGTTATCCACAAAGCCACATATGGTGCCAAGACCTCTGTGCAAGGCATGCACTTGTTTGCTGGTTTTGTTATTGTTGCTATTAGGCTTATTTTCTGTTAGTGTATAAAGATTAAAAAAACTGTTGAAAATGTCAAACAGGCGTGAAGATAATCCTATGAAAAGAAAAAGAGAAAGTATTTGTGCTTATAGCACAGAAAATCAAGCTTTTGGAGCAATTGGACATCAGTGTGTGAAACATTTTACAGAGGAGTATGTGTTGGAATGACCATCATATATGACCTGAGTAAAGAGAAGGGTAAACTGTTGAAGTTCTGTGCTGGAAAGGATAAAAAGAAGCTACTGAAAAGACAGAGATACATTTTGTAAAGCTAAAAATAAATATTACAGTCATGTATTGAAAGAGTGGATCCCTCAGCATTGAGGTGAACATGTGTTACTTAATGGTATGCTGATAATGAAACAAGCAAAGGCCTGTCACAATGAAGTAAAAATAGAAGGGAACTATGAATTTTCAATAGGCTGACTCCAAAAATTTAGGAAAAGGCATGGCATTAAGTATTTGAAGGTTTGTGGCAACAAAGCATCTGTTGGTCATGAAATGAGGCAAAGAAACTCATTGGTGAGTCAGGAATGATGGTGATGTCACATTATCATATTGTTCACATGGGTAGCTGAGAGAGTGATATCTTTGCTTTCTGATGGATTAATCTACACAAACTTTTATACACAAAAATATTAAAAATGTATAAAATTCCCTTCAAGTTATGTGTATAAATTATCTATGAAATACTTAATATTAATAAATGTGTAAGTAAATATATATATATGTGTGTGTGTATATAAATGAATTTTGTGTTTTAACATGGATCCCACACCTAAGATATCTTAGGATATATATGCAAATATTTCAAAATAAAAAATCGAAAATCCAAAACATTTCTAATGTTAAGCATTTCAAATAAGGGATATTCAACCTATAAAAAGCTACAGAAATTGGGCCAGGGATTTAGTTCAGTGGCACCACACCTGCCTCGCAAGCACAAGGTCCTGAGTTCAATCTCCGGTACTGCAAAAAAAAAAAAAGCTACAGAAATCAAGACAGGATGGAAATATTCTTAGGACAGACATGTCTACCAATAGAATAGAACTGAGTCCAGAAATATAATTTAGTTGAGATTTATGGTCAAATGATTTTTAATAAGGCTGCCAAGACAATTCAATGGGAGACAGAATCAGCTTTTCAACAAATAGTGCTGGGACAACTCAAGCAAAAGAAGGAAGCTAGACCCATACTTTATACCATACAAAACCTTAAAACAAAAATCAATTTAGAATGAACTATAGACCTAAATTTAAAAGCTAAAGCTATAAAACTCTTAGAAGAAAATATAGCAGTAAATCCTCATGACCTTCAGTTAGGCAATAGTTTCTTAGATATGACAGCCAGAGCACAAACAGTAAAATAAAAATAAATTGGGCTTTATCAAAATGTAAACTTTTGTGCTGCAAATAATACCATCACGAAAGTGAAAAGCTAGCCCACACAATGGGAGAATATATTTGCAAATCATACATCTAATAAGGGGTTTGTATCTAGAATATGGAAAGAACTCTTTCAATTCAATAATAAAAACAAAACTCAATTGTTAAAAATAAGTGAAAGTGGGGCTGGGGATTTAGCTCAGTGGTTCCGCCACCTGCCTAGCAAGCACAAGGACCTGAGCTCGATCCCTGGTTACCCCCCTCCCCCCAAAAGTGAAAGATTTGAACAAGCATTCTCCAAACATGATATATACAAATGGCCAATAAGTACATGAAAAGATGCTCAAAATCACATCATTAGGGAAATAAAAAACAAAATTATAATTAGAGATCACTTCAAACCCAGTAGGATGGCTATAATCAGGCAATCATAAATATTGTCTAAGAAGTAAAAAAATTAGATCCTTATACAGTGCTGGTGGTATGAAAGTTGATACAGGCATTTTAGTTTGGCAGTTCCTGAAACTCTATGTTAAACATAGAGTTACTATATGATCTAGCAATACTATCCATAATCTAGGAGAAAGAAAAACACCTGTTCACATAAAAATTTGGACACAAATGTTCATGGCAACATTATTCACAGAGTCAAAAGTAGAAAATAGGCAAATGTCCCTCAATATATTTTATCCATAATTAATGCCTAAGAAAAATGTGGAACATCCACAATGAAATATTATTTGGCAATTTAAAAATAGAACACTCACATGTGCCAAACATGAAAGATCCTTGAAAAGATTTGTGAAAGAAACTAATCACAAAAGACCACATATGGGTGAATCTCAATAGACAAATGCATAGAAATAGAAAGTAGATTAGCAGCTGCCTAGACATAAGGGGTGGGAAGAGAAAAAAGAACTAACTGCAAATGGGCATAGATTTCTTTTAGGGCTTATGAAAATGTTCTACTGTCTCAAAATAAAAAATAAGAGCTGCGAGGTGTGGCTCAGTGCAAAGGCCCTGAGTTCAATCTTCACCACTGCAGGGGGAAAGAGGAAGAAAAAGAACAGAAAAGAAAAATGTGGTAAATTGTATAACTGTGAAAATCTAAAAACCATTTAATTGTATGTTTTAAATTGAATTTAGCAGAAATGGCTGAATTTTATGGTATGTGGATATATCTCCACAAGGAGTTTTTCAGGCAATATAATTAGTCACCAAACCACTGCACCTTGCAGATTTTGAAACTAGCTCTTGAGAGAAAAATGACATGTTTTGGGTCTCTAAGTATATTATTAATTGAATCAAGTTGATTGGAATTAGACAGTGTTGTGATCACTGTTCCAAATTCTGGGTCTAGATTTGGCATAATATCAGTAAAGGGGAAAGGCTTAGATAGTTAACTAGTTAGTTCCTGTGTCTGGCCAGATGTGCTATGTCTATTTCATGGACTCTCCATGGGAATTGTTTGAATCTCAGGCCAGTAGCTTGCCCTCTGCTCTGGATGGAACACATTTCCTGGTCAGTTGTTCCACCATCAATTAGTGTGTGTGCTCAACAGGATGCCAGGATGCAAGCTAATTTCAACATTATCTTAAACAAAACATAATTAAGAAGGTAAGTGTATTGCCAAAAAATTACATAATGCATTCCAAAGCCAATTAAAAATGAACTTTGGGTCAACCATGATGAATACATGCATTCAGCACAGCTTTAAATGGTTAACACTTACGGATGCTCATGTAGAGTGCAAATCTTTAAACTTCAAAGTTAGTTCAACTTTCACAAGAAAAGATTAATACACCAAAGTCTCAAACACACTTTTACCTGTCTATTTTCTGCCTTCAATGCCTTACGATCCAAAAAGGTACAAACACCTTACTGCTCACACTTGGTCCACAGCCTGGGCCTTGCTTGGAAGCTCCATCTCAAACTTCTGAGTCAGAATCTACATTTTAATAAGATCCTCAGGCAACCTATGATGCATTAAAATGTAAGAGGCCTTGACCCCACTTCTATCTGAAGCTCAATGTAGAGAAGCTTCACAAAAATTGGATAGTGGGTCACTATTTATAATCTCATTTAAGAGCAGATTACAGCAACCTCAAAATGCCCCTCTTTAATTCAAGATGTAAACACTATAGCTTTAACATGAATATACATGCTATCCATGAAAGAAGTCTTTACTTAAACAGAGGGAAGACGTTCCTAAGGGAAACTTTCCTATTTTTCCAGTTGTCCCTAGTTCTTCGTGGTTTGCCCTTTGGGACTCAACACCACATCCATGGGGAAGTCCAGCTTGAGACACTTAGGCCGGTAGCAGCAGGCAGCTGAGGGTCACAGACGACAGGAGGGCTCCAGGTGAAAGATGGTCCACTTCAGTCTGGGAAGCACTTCTTTCTGCCTCCCCATTCATATAGTTCAAGTGTAGCCATTATGCTCCTTAAAGAGTTCCAACTCTTCTTAGCCTACACGGTTTAGATAAGGGAAACTTATGTTATCTCTTCAACCCCACATATCCATTTCCTGCAAAGGAGGTAACTGGGAGGTCTTCTTATGTGGAGTAGTGGGCTCCAAGCCATGATGAGGGTGGAGGAAATGGAAAGGACTGAGCAAGGACTCCTGGAGAGTGATAGTTTAAATGCTAGTCCTTGGGCTCTAACCTTAAGAATTTGATTCAGGTCATAGAGATGACCTGATGTTTACACATAGCATACATGTAATGAAAAATCATACTGTATTCCATAATTATGTAAAATTACTATATGTCGATCAAAAATTTAAAAAATTTTCCAACAGATTATAATTCAGGAGGTCTGAATTTAGGCTCAGAAATTTGTATTTTAACAGGTGTGATTAATAATTGTGATATGTCACCCTAACTTGAGTAAGAACTGCCTGTCTACCAAATTAGTGAAGTTCCAAGTGTGTCTGTGGATGACTGATGTGCAGGCCATCAAACTGAGAGAGGGAAAACCCACTCTGGATGTGGGTAACACCAACCAAGAGGCTGGTAGCCTGGACAGAATAAAAAGGGAAAGAAGAAGGAAGTGTGTCCACTTTGGAGAGCTCTGGTCTTCACTATTACCTTTAGCGATGCTGGTCTCCAGTTTCTTGAGCCTTCAGCTCAGACTATGCAGAATATTCAGCCTTCCAACACAAACTCACACAGGGGACTCTACAGTGAGCATCCAGGCCTTCACCCTTCCTCCACTACTGCATCAGCACAGACAGCCATTTTGGATTCTTCCACCTCAGATCCTGCAGAGAGCCATTGTGATTCTTCTACTTCCAATTCTGTAAATATATCTAGTAAGTTCCTTTGTATAATTATATTTTAGATTGATTTTGTTCCTCTAGATGACCCTATTACAACAGTTTCCCCAAAATGGTTCTGGTATAGGAGGTTCAAGCCTACACATGATACATAAAGAAACAGTGAGATACAGATGCTCTTCACTTTAGAATGGGATTAATTTTTATGTTCTAATTAAGCCTCGTGTAAGCTGAAAACATCATAAGATGAACATTTTTAAATTTGCCTAATCTACCAACATTACAGCTTCATGACATATCACAAGTGAGTTGTTTGCTCTCAGGATCCTGTGGCCAACTGGGAGTTGGGCTATTGTGCCCCATATTGCTGGCCCAGGAAAAGATAAAAATTCAAAATTTGAAGTACAGTTTACAATGGCTGGCTTATCATTTTTGCAGTATTGTGAAGATGAAAAATCCTAAATTCAATAGCTATTGTAATTTTATGTTCAAGACCTAGTGCAATCTGTTTGAGGACCACCTTTGCAAATAAATCACTTATTCTTTCTCATCTACTTTTTGTTTTTTGGAATTGATGTTGTCAACTTTCCAGTAGCTTTGTAGTAGTCACTCTGGATTACTAAACAACTATTGTTTGCAGAGAATTTAACGCCTGAGGCTCCTTGCTGGTCTTAGGTTGGGTGTAAGAGATGGTGAGCAGTGAAGGGTGTGACCACATTACAGAACTATTTCTCAACTTCCTAGAAAAATGACAAATTGACCATTTCAAGACTTGTGAAACAGATTAACCAAAACAATTGGGTTACCTAACCAGAATTACCATAACCCAAGACTTTCTGGGTAGGAAAGTCAGTTCTGTACTGCGGTTCAAATTCTACTTTCTCCACTTATATTCAATATAACTTCTCTGTGTCTCAGTTTCCTTGCTTGTAAAATAAATATATAACACCTACCTCACTGAGTTGGTATAAAGATAAAATGAAGGACTTAACGAATCTAGTTGATAAGGATAGCTCTAGGAATCAATAGCCAATACCCACTCTATTTCAGGTGAAGACCACAAAATCATTGTGAGCACACTAGGGTGTGGTTGCAGGGAATGTGGAACTCTAAGTGAAAGAAAAAAAGTAGAATTAAAAAGTATGTTTAATTTAAGCGTTTCAAACAAATTATTAAAACCACAGTGGTCTGGCGTTTGTTTTACAAGGCTTTATCCTTAGCCTCCTTGGTAGTTTTAAGCCACACTCTGTACCTTTTCGGCTCCCATGGTGGGGGGCAGGGAGGCAGGTGCCCGGCGGGGGCGGGGGCGCGGGCGGGAGCGGGTCCCGGGCGTGGACCGCAGAGGCGCGGCGCACGTCCCGCAGCCGACCGGGAGGATGCGAGCGCGAGCGTGCGCGCCCACGTGACGGCCGCTATAAGAGCGCTCGGGCCGCCTCTCGCCTCCCGCCGCGCCTCCCGCTGGCCTCGCTCCTCTCCCGGCCGCGGAGGTCTGGGGGTCTCGGGGTACAGAGCTGCATCTGCGGCGGCCGCCCGCGCCCGGACGGCACCATGGCAGGTACGCGTGCTGCCCCCCGCCCCTCCGGCTCCGCGTCCCTGGAGGTGACAGCCGGCTGCCGCCCCGGCCCGGCCCCGGGAGCCCCGGCAGGGTGGCGACGCCGCGAAGTTGCAGCCGCCGGTGTCCGCACCGCCCCTCCGCGCAGGAAGAGGGCACCGGGCAGAGCCGCGCCCGGCCCCCGTTCCGGCTTCCGTCTCCTCGCCCTTCCTCTCTCCTCCTCTCCCCTCCCGGGCAGGGCGGGCGGTGGAGCGGCTGCGGCCCGGCCCCCTGGGGTGTGTGGACCCAACACTTCCCGGCTTGCGGAGCCTCCTCGGCCTCCCGCAGGCAGCAGCCCCGGGGAAGGGGCGGTCGCGAGGCGGGGACACTAGCAGCCTCCACCGGGCCGCCCTCGCAGGCCTGGCTGCTGGGCTGATCCTATTTTTAGGCCTTTGGGGCCGGGTTTCAGGGAGCTGGGAGCCCGACTAGCGTCCCCGGGGCGAACCTCCGCCCCGCTTGTTGCGGAGTGTCTGGGCCTCTAGGTAAATCTGCCTATGGATTGGGGAGCTCGGGGTACCCGGTCCTCCCCAGTCGTTGAGGCTCATAGCCGGCATTATACCAGCAGTTGAACTGCCAGAAGCTTGCAGGTGTAACTCAGAGTTCAGCTGTCTTTAGTAAGGTTAAATTCCTAGCCAGCTGTCATTGGGCTTCTCCAGTTCATTTATAGTGTTTGTGAAGTCTGGTGTGTTCGTCTGTGTTCTAAGCATTTGTCTTCCCCCTTATTTAGTCTCGGAAATCGTCCATGCCCTTGCTTCCCGAAATCCTTGACTCCTACCCACATTAAACTTTTCTCCACAGTCTCCTGGAATCTGAATCCCTATAGCGTTAAAACATATGTCGTTCTCAGATGACTTTGAAATGTTACTGCCTCGTGATAGGTTGAAAATAATGGAAGCAAGCACAGGCAGAGGCTCATGGCATGTCGAGTGGCAGTTGTCACTGTTCTGAGCCTTCTTACCGTGTGATGGGGTGGGGAACGCCAGTCTTTCTGCAGCTTAGTAGTGGCCTGCTCCTCGGGTCAGGGCCGGGGATGTGTTGTTCCCTTGGACGAGCCACAGCTGCCTCTCTCACTTCTCAATGGAATTTCCACCACTTCCAGCCTCCACGTTTGAAAATGGGCAAGGAAGAATGAGGAAACCCAGACAGAAAGAGAGTGGTGACTTCATGACAGTGTCCTAACTCCTTGGGTGAGCCACAGTGCCCCCAAGTGACCCCTGCCAGAGTTTGATTATAAGTGCCCTAGGTGTTTGAATGCCCACCAACCTGCTAACGCTATAATCCCTCGGAGGTGGAGGCTAGAATTGTCCCGGGGAAAGACACGAGAAATTTTAAAGGCTAGAAGGGTGAGTGATGATTGCTCAGTAGGAAGTTCCTTATTTGTTCAGAAGCCATGCCTTCTGTTCTTTAATGAGTGATAATTGAAGAACTAAGCCCCTGTATGTATACGGTGGTGGTGGTGGGGGATTCAAGGGCTAGGTAGGGGATACTGGTTGCTTCTTCAAAAAGGAGGAAGCAGGTTTGTTAGAGCTCAGGTGGTTTCTAAATCAATTGAATAATGATTAGTCATTTAATGGCAGCAATAGGGAGGGAAGACCTCTTTTCCTCTTTGAAGCTGGGTTTTGCTCCAGACAGAGGAAGAAGTGAGTGTGAAAACCCAACGCGTGGGCAAGCCTGTCATGTTGCACTCCTGTAATCCGAGGCTACTTGGGAGGCTGAGTAGAGGATCACAAGTTTGGGACCAGTCTGAGCAACTGAGCAAAACCCTGTCTCAGGATAGATAGATAGAAGGACTGGGGATGTGGTTTAGTGGTAAAACACTTGCCTAGCTTGGATGAAACCCTGGATTCAATCCCCAGTAACACCCCCCTCCCCCGCCTCCACCACACACAGACGCGCGCGCGCGCGCACACACACACACACACACGTGCTCATGCATATGCAGGCTAATTTTTGCTGAATTATTGTTTTGAAAAGGACCCTGGGGAAAGACTTTGTCCAGGTAAGATATTGTAATGAGTGATTTTTTTTTTCTTCATATCAAGATCAGGCCTTTGTGACACTGACCACAAATGATGCCTACGCCAAAGGTGCCCTGGTCCTAGGCTCGTCTCTGAAACAGCACAGGACCACCAGGAGGCTGGTTGTGCTTGCCACCCCACAGGTCTCAGACTCTATGAGGTGAGGACCAAGCTGCCTGCCTGTCTGTCTGTCTTTGGGAACCTTAATGCCTGCCCATCTGTCCATCCTTAAGATTCTGACATCCTTCTTCCCATTTCTGACATCAGTGGACATTGAAATCACATCCTTTTCAGGGTTAGACACTGAGTAGAAAAAGATGAGAATTGCTGAAAGACTCCTGGGTCTGAAACCTTTTAGTTTTGGGGAGCTACTCAGACCAGGCTCTCTTCTAGGATGCAGTGCTCTGGTCTTCTTCCTGGTTGCAACTAGGATGAAGAGGACTTTCTCTTCACCAGGTCTGTGACTTACTGTTTCACTCTTCATTCCCTGCTGGACTGCACCTTTATATCTTCACAGTTAACTTACTCCTTTCCCAGAATGCATCAGTGGCTACAGTGTTTCTCATTTTAAATCAGCTATACTCTCAGGTAACTTTGTATACAAAGTAGCAATATTCTCCATTGCCAGTTGACATTTGTAACCTGAAGTGCTTCATTCATAACATAATATACTGAAATCTTTATCAAAGGGCTTTCTGAACTAAGGGTTTTGCTTGGGGAAGCATCCTGCAAGGCACAAGCTGCTTGTTCAATTTGATTTGTTGAAATTAAATGTTGATCTAAATGAACTACTAGTTTCTAAATATTAACTTTTGGGCACAGTAGCAGTTTTGTGTTGTTTATTTTTGCAGTCTCCTAGCCCTTTAGAAATTGAAACATACATATCCCAAGGGGATCTAAGAGGTCTCATATACATATCTATCTATCTATCTATCTATCTATCTATCTATCTATCTATCTATCTATCTATCTATCTTTCACACTAATGGCCTTGTTTCTAAATGTTAGATGCCAAAAAGGCTGTTTTCTAATGTGTAGTCCATTAGTGAGGATGGAGTCAGAGGACAGACCTACTCTTCAGTGGTGCCTCTTGTTTCTTATCAAAAATATCAAGCTTACTATGTGAACTAAAGCATATTTTTTGCAGTTTTGGATATAGAATACAGTACCACTTTTTTGTACAAATCTGTTAATGCTGAAATGTTTGTGTCATATATTTTCTCTCATGCTTTAGTATCTTACCTAAGTCTACTCCACCCCCCACCCCCTTAGAAGCTCTCTAAAATAAAGATTTAGCTAATTCTGTGCGTGGAGAAGTGTTGTACCTTACAGACCAAAGTGAGTCTCATTATGCCTAAATAGAATAATAAGCATGCAACCAATTCTGATTACATTGGAGTCTAAAAAGAAAAATGGCAAACTAGTAGCTAAGTCTTTTAACTTCTTTCAGGACACACAGCTTCAGGCAATTGTCAGCCAGTTGCTTTAGCAAAAGTGATTACATATAGGCTTCATTACACATATTCTACGTACATTATTTAGTATCATTTGTAAAACATATGCAGTAGTCAGTATCAGTTCTAAAATGTCATTGTCAAATATGCAGGCAGTTACAAAGATATACTTAATGACTTACCAGGTTATTTTCCCAAGGTGTCTATTATTCAGTGCCACAATAAAAAATACAAAACAACTTTTATAATGTTTTAAGAACAGTACTTCAGTCTTACCATAAACAGTTATTAATTTAATGAAATTAATTGCACAGGCAAATGAATACAGTTTGTTCCAAAATAAATTAAGACTGATTTAAGAGGGTGTACTATCAAACTGACAGATTGTTCTGTTAATTGATGGATAGAGCAACAAGGCAACAATCTTTCATGAGACGGGTCACTTATGAAAAGATTCTAAGTGCTATTTTCTGGAATTTGTTTTGACAGAAAAGTTTTAGAGAAAGTCTTTGATGAAGTTATCATGGTAGATGTCTTGGATAGTGGCGATTCTGCTCATCTCACCTTAATGAAGAGGCCTGAGTTGGGTGTCACGCTGACAAAACTTCACTGCTGGTCACTTACACAGTATTCAAAGTGTGTGTTCATGGATGCAGATACTCTGGTGAGTGTGGCTTTGAGGGCTCGCTGGATAGATGCACATAGTAATGGAGACCTGGTAGGCATTTGAGGAATGCTGTCAAGACTTGAGCATAAAGTTCAGATAAAAACAGTGTCAAAGAAAGTGTCAAGTGATGAAAGAGAGTAGTTCCAGACTACCTTGTAGCTGTCATCATCTTTTGTGTTAGGATTTCAGAAAAATGCTCCAGCAAAACATTTCTGTAATGCCTTTCTCCCCTTTCAATCAGGTCCTAGTAAATATTGATGATCTTTTTGAGAGAGAAGAATTGTCAGCAGCACCAGACCCAGGGTGGCCTGACTGCTTCAACTCCGGAGTCTTTGTCTATCAGCCCTCAGTTGAAACGTATAGCCGGCTGTTGCATCTTGCTTCTGAGCAAGGTAGCTTTGATGGTATGTACCTGCTATCTTCATATATGGGGTTTCTAGGGGCTCTT